CCACTTCCCCAACGGTCATTCACCACCACCTCGTCCTTGACCGGACTTTCAGAAGGAAATATCATTAAATGATCAACTTGAAACAGTTTTAAAAACACACCTTGAGTTGTACAACCAGGCAAGAAAGTCAGTGCTGCCCCAGTACGCATCGGTGGCGCCGTTGCCAATGCCATCTGACCAGATCAGTGATGGTTTGTATTCGTTCACCATCTCCTCCATCTCAGGTCGAATCTTCTTTGTCACAAAATCATTGGTTGTAAAGTGGTTCTTGTGGTCGTTCAGGTACATCGGGTTGAACCACTCAAAGAGTGAGTGGTACAGACCAAAGGTGAGGTTGTGGTGGCGGACTGCCTTGGCGAGGTCGCCCACCAGGTCTCGCTTTGGACCGACGTCCATGGCGTTCCAGTTGGGCGAGTACTTGCTCGGCCACAGGGTGTACCCTTCGTGGTGTTTACTTGTCAGCACGACGTACTTGGCACCTGTTTTTAGACAGAGGATTAGATGTCAACCGAACAAACAAAATATTTCTTTACAAACCTGATTTTTGAAAAATCTCTGCCCACTTTTTTGGCTCAAAGAACTCGGTGGTAAACTGCGGCGCAAAGTCCTGGTAAGTAAAGTTGGGCGGATNTTGGGCGAGTACTTGCTCGGCCACAGGGTGTACCCTTCGTGGTGTTTACTTGTCAGCACGACGTACTTGGCACCTGTTTTTAGACAGAGGATTAGATGTCAACCGAACAAACAAAATATTTCTTTACAAACCTGATTTTTGAAAAATCTCTGCCCACTTTTTTGGCTCAAAGAACTCGGTGGTAAACTGCGGCGCAAAGTCCTGGTAAGTAAAGTTGGGCGGATAGTTCTTCCTCATGAACTCTGCGTACTTGGGATTCTTCTCCTTGCCAATGGAGCCCTGCCAACGAGACCAGAACCACTCTGAGCCAAAGGAGGGCACCGAGTAGACGCCCCAATGGAGAAAGATGCCCACCTTGGCCTTGTCGTACCATGTCGGCAGAGGACGCGAGTCAATAGAGTGCCAGTTGGCTTCGTAGTGTTTTCCACTGACGGCGACCACGAGGGCAGCGACAAAACACAGCGAGACTGTGAGATGCATTTTAAAGAAAAGGTGATGATCAATGATCATTAGCTTCGATCATTTATATACCTGCTGCACTGCATTTTCAAC